ATCCCGCTTCCTCCCTGCGTTTCCTGTTGCTATACCTCCTTTCCTAACCCTTCAGAACTCTGTCCTTGGTAAATGCTGCCCAAATGAGTGATTTTTCTAAGGTGTTCAGAGCCTCAACAGTTATCATTCCCCTGAGAGACCCGTGTATATTTGACTGAAAACTGCTATGGAGGCGAGTTCGTTTCCAGACCTGCAGGGTGACTGAGGACCGTAGTCTCCGGGTGTCACCTGTCTCTAAGTTCTGTTGCATGTTTCTTCCAGTCCACCCTGACCTCCCAGTGTGAGCTCTTCCAGAGCAGCTGGCAGTGCTTTCTGAGTTCCATCTAGTTTGGGGCTCAGGATCATGAAGACAGACATTCATGCGCTCCTGTAGTCTGTTGGACTAATTGTTTCTGTGAACCTTTGCTTTTCTTCTTTTTAAAAATTTTCTTCGTTTTTATTTTATTTTTTCTGGATAGGGATTGATAAATTATTGCACCTTAAGTTTCTCCTCATACAAATTTAAGACCCCGGCCACTACCTACCAAAGCAGAGTATAGAACATTGTCTTTGTGGGCTGGGCTATGTCAGTTGACCTTGTCCTCAGAAACCATGGTCCTGAGCTCCCAGGCACGGTGACTCATTCTGTTAAGGTATTTGGATATGCCTAAGAAGTTTAGGTATGCCCTACTATGTGTATGCATATATTTGTGGCAAACGTCATTACCCAGGTAGACATTTCCTGTAACAACCCTCTCTGTATTTGTGGATATGTTTTCCTGTGCCTTCCCACACTGGTTCTACCTGAGTGTCTGTCCACGCACCTATTTGTAAATCACTCTCGTGGTGGGATTGTATATGTAGCACTCCTCTCAGTGTCTTCCGGCCTCTTTCATGTTGTTTTCCCCAACCTTCCTCTCATTGTATATTATCTGACCCTTCACCCAAGTTAATACGTATCTATCTTCTAGTCAATAATTTCTTCCTTTCCCTCTCACCATTAGTAATGAACAAAGAATGTTTTCCCTAGTGTGAAAGCCTTGTCTGAACTTCTGACAATAGTGGAATCATACAACACTTGCATCTTCGTGATTGAGTTCTTCGCTCGGCGTAACGTTCTCCAGGTTCATCCAGGTTGTGCTGATACTCAGAGTCACTGCTTTTCAGTGTTGTCCTTTTGTGCTCTCTCTCTCTCTCTCTCGCTCTGTCTGTGTATATGTGTTTGGCTGTTTTCTTTGTTCCATGTAATTTTCTGTGCAGAGTTTATTTTGTACGTGGGGTTCTTGTCATTTTCCTTCTTGTTATTGTTTTAATGTTTACCAAAGCTTTATGACTTTCCTCTTTTAAATTGGTGAGGTTTATTTATTTTCTTTGAGGTTACCTTATAATTTATTTATTTATTACCAAGTTTAAAACAGTCTGTTCTATCTTAAATTTACTTGACCTCTCCACTTGGAAATTCATCTCTATCTGGAAGTTCGTTTTGCTTGTAAGTGCCCTCATTACAAAGTAATCCCTCTGGTTTCCTTTTTTTCCGTCTTGTTGGTTTGTTCTACTTTGCATACTTCTATTTTTAGATGGACTTGTGCATAGTATTGTCACTTATGTTAACATCGCATTGTTGTTTCCTCTTGCTGGTTTTCTATCTGAAGAACTCTCTTTAGCATTTCTTGTAAGTTTGATCTGGTGTTTGCAAGTTCTTTTTACTCCTGTTTATGTCGAAATGCCCTAATTTGGCTATCATATTTAGGGAACAATTTTGCTGAGTATATGATTCTTGGTTGGCAGTTTTTTTCTTTCAGGGTTTCATATATGTCATCTCATTTGTCTCTTGCTTTCTGGTTTCTCCTGAAAAATCAGAGCTTATCTTATTGGTTCTCTTTTGCAGGTAACTTCTCATTTTTTTCCAAGCCACTCTCAGGATTCTTTGATCTTGGAAAGTTTGATTATGATACGCTATAGTGATTTTCTTTTTGAGATTCGTATGGCTCTTGAATGCCTATCTCCTCATTGTTTCATGTTTTCTCACAGTTCTTTAACAATTTTCTCTGGCAGATTTATGCCACTGTTTATAAGATATTGCTATAGGAACAGACAAATGTCTTAATAGGATAGGGAGTATAGGAAGATATATGTCACTTTTATTGATCTTCTCAACTTTTCTTGATTAGCTTTCATTTTATTTTGTCCTTTCTACTTTTCCCTTCTATGTACCATTGATTTCCAATTTTATTTTTATTATCTCCTTTATTCTGCTTACATTGTCACGGGTTTGAGAATTTTTTTTCTAATATAAGAATTTAGTGCTTTAAATCTATATCTAAGCCTTGCTGTAAAGAGTTTGGGTGATACAAGTAGTTTGTGTTTGGCTACTAACCTAAAGGTTGATGAATCAACCCCAGGGCTCTGCAGGATAAAGGGTTGATGGAATACTTTTGTAAAGATTAGTCAAGAAAACCCTCGAGAACAACTTCACTCTCTAGCACACAGGTTCGCCATCAGTAGGAATTAAAAGTAGGAATCGACTTGTTGTAACGGATATGTTTCCTGTTTTCTGAGTGTTGCTTTAGCTGCAGTCCATAAATGTTAATATGCTGCATTTTCATTTTCATTCAGAAAGTACTTTTTAATCTCTCTCTTTACCAATGAGTTATTTATAGTAAGTGTTCGATGTATGCTTTAAAATAACTTCTATTCATTAAGTTCCTGGTTGACTAATTCAAGTCCTCTATATCCTGATTTTCCTTCTGCATTTGCTATATATTAACTGATTTTTCCTACTTATTTTTACCATTTGTTCCCAGAGGAGTATTTAAATCTCTAAAATTGTAGATTTTTATTGATACTTTCACTTCTGTGAGTTTTCACTTCATATGTTTTGAAGCTGTGCTATTAGCATTTGGATGCATTATATCTGCTCCTCTAATAAATTGACCCTTTAATCATCTTCTAATGACCCTATTTATTATTGGTAATATTATTTGCTCTGAAATCTATGGTTTCTGATAGTAATACAACTCCTGCAAATTTTAGTATTTTAAACAAGGTTTATCAGTTTTCAAACTTTTGCCTTTAAGATATTTGTGTCTTTTTAAAACAGTTTTATTGGCATATAATTTACATAATATTCAGTAGTTCAATCATATCAATGAAAATTGTACAATCACTACCATATCAATTTTAGAACATTTCCCCCGCCCATGGAGGAAGTTCCTTTATAATGAGTTGTGCAATCACAGTCAGTTGCCGTGCTCCCTCCCCACTCCAGCCTTCCTTTTTGATTGCTAAAATCCCCTTTCCATCCCTATCACCCACTCCCCACCCCTGCATCCCTTATCAACCCTTGTGTCAGATATTATCACTGTGCATCCACTCCCTGTGCATCACACACTTGGAAACCCAACAGAAACAATAAAAGTCAAAATCAAAATAAGGTGGCAAGGATTAAATAATAAAAATATAAACACAAAATACAAATAATGAGTAAGAAAGAAAAGACCCCCACCAACATTCAAAATAAGCAGGGAAGAAATTTCTGTCATGGAACAAGTAAGAGAGACTTCCACCCAGAACCAATTCAAGTCCGGTCTCTAGGGAGGTCATCTGGCCAAGTCTTGAGTTTGGTTCAGCATAATGAAGATGACAGTGGTCGGTGCCTGACAGTAAGGCTGTTTCAGACTTGCCTGTGGCCAGAGCAGATCTGCCAGTGGCTCAGTCTGACTAGAGACTCTGCAGATGGGTTTGGGCTCCCACTGTCTTCCATTGCCTTCTACAAATTGGGTGTTCATAATTTTAGCTCTGATACTGTTCCCTTCGCCATATGAGAATTTTTAAATTGTCATTTTTGGGTCACACAAGCTGGTGTGCTTCTTCCATGTAGACTTAGTTGACTCCTTGCTTAGATGGCTGCTTGTTTGAATACAAGTCTTTAAGACCCCAGACACTATTCCAATTGGTAGCCAGGCACCATTTACTTTCTTCACCAGACTTTGCTGTAGCACCCGTATCTTCAGTGATCCTTCAGGACTCCATCTGCTTGTCCATGGGCTTGCACATCTCAAGATTACTTTGGCAGTTGTAATATGACAAATTCACAACCCATAATATCAACTGCATCAATAGAAGCCATAAGCCAACCAACAAACAGAACGCACACACACACACACCCAAAAAGAAAAAAAGAGAGAAAGAAAAAAACAAAAACAAAAAAGCAAGCTATAAGCAGTAGAGCAAAACCTCATATCAACAAAGAAATATAGCATTGCCAATTACCTCCCTGGAGTAGAAGCATTATTATCATCATCAATTTTCCCAGTGACCCAGCTCTCCCGACACTGTTTGTAGGAGACAGTGCGAGTACCATTCTACCTTGAGCCGCAACCCATGAGTTGTTGTCCTACACAGTTCCATCTCTCCTTCTACTGGGCTCTGTTGACCCTAAGTATGGGGCTGATGTCAGTGGGGACCTTCCTGGGTCAATTCTTCCAAGTGCAGATTGCTGCTCAAGGGATTCCAACCTGTCACTGCAGGGTGGGCATTGAGGTGCTACATGTATGATGGTCCTGGGTCCCTTTCCACTGGACAACCCCCCAGCCAGGGGTTCTCCCCAAGCTCCAATGACCACCACTTACACAAACCTGGGGCGGCCACATTCTGCTTCCTTTCCCATCCAAGTACCACAGCTCTCAGTCCAAAGGTGCAAGCCCCTTTGAGGTCGAGTTCAGTTCATTCAGCTGGGCCGCTATGTTAAGTCCTTCTGGTGTAGTCCCTGCATTGTGCCCTGCTGTCTGCTAGGTTAGCTTCCATGAGCATCCTGATATTTGTGTCTTTATGTTTAAAGTGGTTATAGGTTTTCTGAGCCCTCTGTCTGAAAAAAAAATTATATGCTAGTTTACCACCACTGTGTCTGGCCAACTTAAATGAGAACCTGATTACGTAGTGTCCTCAAGAAAAGTCATCACAAAATCATAATAGTGGGAAAGACAATTTTATTGGATATACGCGGTAAAGTGAAAAGAGAGGTGTGAAACTGACACACCATCAAAGCCACATATGACCAAATTCAAAGAATACATGTACATGTAGGAGTGGTTTGGTTCTTTCAATAAACGAGACAAATATACATAGGAACATCTTCAAAGTTGTTTGTCAAAAGCTTGGTCATACAAGACAGTCAGGAGGGGCCTTTGTTGATCCTTCATGCCGGAATTGGGGAGGACGAAGGAGATAGCTCTCTATTTGCCTATCTTAGTGCTGGCACTCCCTTAAGTCTACCCTTTGTGTTCATTTCTCCTCCACCTGTTGGTCTTGCCTGCTTCTGTTCATCCTTGTCTTCCCGGTTGATCAAAGAGATTCCCCAGGGCTACTGCCCTTCCCTTGGCAACTTGGTGGTCAGAAAGTGGACGTGGCAGTAGGCCTACTTCAAGGCTCTTTGGGGGCTCTCAAAAGGTGCCTTTGGTTTTAAGTACTAACACAGTAGAGACTTCTAGAGGTTTCACTTTCTTAGGCTGCTATAAAGGAAATACCACAAGTGGGTGGCTTTACTAGACAGAGCTGTGTTTTCCTACAGTTAAAGGCTTTCTCCAGAACTAGGGAGGGAAAGGTCCTTAGGACTTTTCAGTTTCTGTTCCTTCATGTGGCCTGGTATCTATCTCTTCCCGCTATGCTTTCTTGCTTATATGCCTAATCTGCTCATTTTCTATCTCAGAACTGATTTCCTTAAGATACACTCTACACTGACATGCATCAGTAACATACAAAGAAAACCTTCTTTTCAAATGGGATTTCAACCAAAGGTATAGGGGTTCGGATTTACAACACATATTTGGGGGTTGGGGGATGACAACATACAGTTCAACTCATTATACCAGGTCGCTAATAATGCTATCTCAAGGCAGTCATTTATCTTTTCTAACTTGTTGGGGAACACGAGGAAATAGGCCATGGCCTACATTCATGGTTCTTGGAAACTTCCATATTGCAGGATGCAAATGTTGTGATTAAAGGAGATGCTAAAATGAGTCTTCCAGTTCACGTAATGAAGATTAAACCACTCAAACCAATCACAGGTCAGTATAATTCAACCCGTCCACCTTTCCATTGCCATTCCCCCCTTTTTGCCTTGCTCTGCATTTCACATATTTTCTATTTATTAGCAGCAACGCTTAAATTGCAAACATGGGTTTGAAGAGGAACTATGTAAGCCTCATGAACGCTAAAGCCTAAAAATTACACACACACACACACACACACACGAATATTTTAAGGGTACTGGAAATTCCAGATAGACATGTTTCCTGGTTGGAATTCAAGCATACATTCATGTTAATTAATTTATCAGCAATTTGCTGAGTACTAATATTGCACCAAGTACAAAGGTCAGTTCAGTAAGACAAGGCGCCTGCACTAGAGCAGGAAAATGATGGTCTCGCAAGGGAGACAAAAACCCAACAAACTCACTGCCATTGCGTCAGTGCTGACTCAGTTCAGCAGTAAGGAATAGCTAAAAATCCACGGCCGTCAAGTTGATTCCAACCCATAATGATCCTGCAGGATAGAGTAGAACTGCCCCATAGGGTCACCAATGTTGAAATCTTTGCAGAAGTAGGTTGCCACATCGCTTTCTCCGCAGTGGGCAGCAGAGTGCTTGACTCCTACCTACCACGGGTGCTTGGGGGGACATCTCATCACCATGGAAATGTGGGGAAAGGAGTTATGCTGAACTCTGCTCAGCAAGTAGAAAAATCCTTTGTCAGAAGAAAGGACATTTGATAAGGTCTCAGAGAATAAGTGGGAGTTGATCAAGAGAATCCAAGAGGAACTCCATTAGTGGCAGAGAACACAGCCTATCCTTTTAACAGTCCCACATCATGTCAACTATATGAGGGGTACCCTCCCCAAAAGGAAACATTTTTTTCAAAGCTATGTATTTAAATTTTTTTTATAAAACAACCTTATCACCTTCAAAATACTCTCCATTACATTTAATGCATTCGTCAAATCTGCGATTCCATTCTTAGAAACAGTTTTCAAACTCATCTGTTTGGATGGCTGACAGTACCTTCCTCATTTTTTTCTTCACTTCTATGTCATCAAATCGCTGTCCTTTTATGTTCCTCTTCATTCACAGAACTAAAAAGAAGTCGCATGGAGTGAGGTCAGGTGATTAAGGTACATGGAGCAAGACAGGCATGCTATTTTTTTTTTGCCAAAAACTAGCACACTGAGGTAGCTGCATGAACAGGTACATTGTCGTGGTGGCAGTCTGCCACAAATCAGACCTTTTGTGTCGCACACTTGTTATGCAATCTTTTCAGAACCTCTAAATAGGAATCATGATTAATAATCTGACCTGGTGGAACGAACTCACAATGTACTCGAACTCAACATTTTCATCCTTTTGGGAAGTTGATGGACTCCTAGAATGAGATTTGTCATCAATTGACATTTCACCTTTTTTGAAATAAGAAAACCACTTACACACTTGAATTTTTCCCATAGTGCTGTTCTTGTAAGCTGTGTTCAGTAGTTTCCTCGGCGTTTTTCCCCAAGCAGGAGACAAAATTTCACAGCTTCATGCTCGCGGGGTAGCAGAGGGAAATGATGGTGTGAGCGGCACCCAGAATATGGAGGAGGCCTTACTGGGGGCACAGACAAGGAGTCAGGGGGTTCAGAGAAAGACGAGGGGGAGGACTGTCGGGGCTGATTAAGAGAGTGTTTGGCTAAGAGAACTTGAGCAGGGTGACAGGGAGTAAGTACACAGAGAGGGACAGGAGTGAAGAAAGAAAAAGACCTGGACATATGGAACTTTTGACCACTTGTGGGCTCATCGACAAAATTGTCGAGGTTGTGGAGAATGTTAAAATCGAAAGTGCCATTTTCTGGCCAGCACAACTCATTGTCCAGTTGGTATTGAGGCCAAACTTGGTTACAGAAAAAGACCAGTCACTTTGGAAGGAGATCAGGAGCCAAATCCAATTCAGTAAGGTTGGCCGATAGGCACCCCAAAGAACTGTCCTTAGGGGGCTCAGACAGAGGACTTCCCATGGTGTCTCAAACTGCAGGCGATACAGGCAGAGGAGAAGGATGTACCCCGATCCACGTCTGCACCCAACAGACAGAAACAGTCTGGTAACCCTGAGGGCGTCCCGACCAGAGAGGCCCAGCGAAGAGTCCTGGACTACTCCCAGACAGGAAGGTTCCCTGGTACAGGGACCTTGGATCAGAGAGAGAGACAATGGAAGTCAAGGAGAGGGAGGGGGCCTGGCTTTGAGGCTGATAAAATGGAGGTTGGTCAGAGGCCTTTGTTCAGGGTGAGAAAAAAATGGGAAGTAGAAAATGTTAGAGAAGGCAGTACACAGCTGCAGACCCAAAGCACACAAGTAGAAAAAGGCTCAGAGATAACTTTTGCACCTTAGTCCAGTCTGAAGGTGCAGTGACTGCCAGGCCCAGTGCCAGGAGTCCTGTTATTGGCAGAAATCCCAGAAAGTAAACACAGAGACAAAGTGCTGGGGGCTACATGAGGGAAGATAGACACGAGAAACTGTCCTTATCGTGGCACCCCTTTGGGGGAATGGTAGTTATTTCTAGCTCCACTTAGGATTAGGGTAGAAGTATAAACCCCTTCCGTGGCACCCCCAAACAATGGGGACCCTCTGTTCCCATATGAGTTTGCTGTTCAGCAGTGTCCGAAAAGACAAGACAAATGAGACAGAATGAACATATGTAGAGAGATAGTGACCAGAAGTTGCTCATTCAGACAGGTTCTAGAGGAGAGGAGGGGTGGGCTACGTCCCAGCCAAAGCAGGGCCAGGACAGCACGGAGCCCATGTCCCTACCTCTCCTCAGTTTCAGGCATCAAATGTAAAGGTGAAACTGAGGCACAGGGAGACGGACAGACATAACTGACAGGACAAGGGAGAGCAGAAACAGAAGTAGCTTTATTAGGGGGAGCTCCCTGACAAGGTTCTGTGACCTAGGCCAATAGGTCCGGGAAGTTGTGCTCAGTGGTCAGGGGCACGGGTTTTTAAACGGGCAGTTGAATGTGTGGCAGTTAGCATATGGGGTCTGGACACTCTGAGAATTGCTTGTCGACTCCTCGCGGCTTTCTTTGAACCCGGAGCATCTGGTCTCACCGCTGTCTGCTGCTGACCTCTGGGGATGTGCAGGGAAGCAGCACCCTAACCTGCTTCAGCTCAGCGCAATCAGCCATCACAAGGTTTGAGTGAAACTGCTTTTACAAAAAAATTCACTGACCAGCGAGAACCTTCCCAGTGGGTGCACAAACTCAGAGCAAGTTGCTTGATGCTTGCCTAGGGGAGAGCATTTATACTAGGAAAGCACCACTCTGCCAAGCGCAATTCCGTTTTTTGGGGGGATACCCCCTCTTATGTGAATAAAGATGTCCAGTGTGAGATTAGTTATGCATAAGTAAAGATTGGTTAGGGAAAATATGGTACACATGTACAAAGGGATAGTTTGCAACTAATTGAAAAGAAAAGGGAAATGCAAATGACCAAGAATAACTAATTCCTGCCTTCCCTGGTAGGAGCTCTGGTGATGTGGCTTATACATTGGACTACGAAATCCCAGGCCGGTAGCTCATAGCCACCAGAGGCTCCTCAGGAGAAAGATGAGGCTGTCTGCTCCTGTACAGAGTCTCTAAAACCCATAGGAGCAAGTTCTACCCTGTCCTATAGGGTTATTATGAGTCAGCCTCGACTTAATGACAGTAAATTAGGTTTGGTTTGATTCTCCCAGGTAGAAGAATGTAGAATGAAGGAACCCAAAGATGTGGAAACTATGACTCTAATAGA